GGGGCGGGGGGGACGGGGGGTAGGGGGGAGGGGGAATCAATCAGTTCAGCCGTCCGAGCCAATAGAAACAAAAGGCTCGCTATGCTAGCTTTCGTGATTTGGGGATGACAATTTGCATGCCACAGGCCTCCTCGCGGCGTCGGCAACCTCAACTTCAGCCATCAATCCATCATGCAGCCACACATGCTCAGAAGCTCAGAAACCTACAGAGAATGAAAGATCAAGAAACACCATTTGCAACCCAAGTCACAACATCCGCCCATGACCAACTAGGGAAGGGGGTAGCTTGAGACACATCAGATCTTTTTGGTTGCAGAAACGCTCTTTTCATTCAAACTTGCTCCTGGAAATGCAACATCCATGCGCCCGTGACAAAAAGTCAGCATCAACCACCTGCACACACGCCATTCTTCAGCAATCGATTCCCTCCACGTGCTTGGAAACAAGCTGCGCTCAAGCAGCTGGACTTTGTTATATGGAGACCGTTGACGACACATCAGCGGCCTGGTGGAACAGGCCAGTCTCCATTAAGAGCTATGGCAATTGCAGACATGAAGAGGGGGCCTAGCAGAATGCGCACTGCTAGGTATCATCAAGCTGCAAAACGTGCAGCCTTACCTGGAGACTGCCTCTGGCAGCTCACCGGTACAACTGGCTGCCGTGAGCACCTTACGAGCGGGACAGCTTGCCGATCCATGTCAGTGGTGTCTCGCCGATGCTGAAGCAATGAGATTTGCGCGTCGAGGTGTTACCTCCATGTTAAAAGGCAACAGAACAACGAGGCACGCTGTGTCGTGGCTCCTCACCGGTCATAGTAAATGTAAGTGCAGGGGTCCCGGCTCTGTCTTAAGTGCCACACGGAAGTTACGCTGGTGATAGGGGCCTGCACGCAAGCAAGCAGGCAGTTCTGCAAAGAAGCCTCCGCTCAGGGAAAAGATATATGACACTTCTAGGCCTACCAAGCAGCAACTCCCAAGGTTGGCCGATCCGTGTAGCCAGACACTACTGTTACTATTACTATTTCTAATACTATTACTCTTATTATTAATATTAATACTATTATTATTACTATTACTGTTATTATTACTATTACTACTGCAGCAATTCTCAGCGCCTCCCCCTGCTGAAGTGACCTCCGATTTGCATCGATGCGGCCATCCTCCAGGCTTCAAATTGCAGATACCATGGTAGATTGAGGTATATTATGGTATATTCTGCTATATTATGCTATAATATACTATACAATAATATAATATGGTATATTATAAAAAATATGGTATATTATGATATAATATAATACAATATGGTTTATTATGGTATAGTATAATATGATATGGTATATTGTGGTATAAGCTGGTATGTCATGCTGCAATCCTCAGGTGGAACCCTCCACCCAGTAATAGCGACTATAAGGGATGATTATGATCATATTAGAACCCTCTTATACTCCTATGATACCCACTTACAGGGTGGGGGGGCCACCTTAGATACATATATAGCCAGGCAAGGCAACAGCTACTTTCCCATACTTCCAGATAGCCGAACTATAGTCTAAACTCCTTAAAGGGGTTATATAGGGGATTATATTAGGGGACTATATAGGGCTTATTAAGGGGGATACTAGGAGTTCAGATTATGGCTCATATGGGCCATAGGCTGAAGGGTTGCTGCGACCCTCCCTGCAAAAAGGTATCACAACACAGCAAGTAACAACGCTGCTTGACAGATTTTTTGGTCAAGCAACGCACATGTTTTTCAGGATTGTTCACAGCTTCAGGCTCAGAATCGTGCGATTGCTCCGTGACTAGAATAGCCTTTGCCCTGCAATGCTACTCAAGTTATGAAAGCGACCAATCTGAAAACAAAAATGTAGCAGTCCTTGTCCAGTTGCTCCAAACCGTCATGCCCCAAAACGTCGCGCTGCAGGGGTACACTGGGCGGAATGAATTGCAGGGGCACACTGGGCGGAACGCATCGCGGTGAGGTACCTGTTTCCACAAAGCTAGCAAGCTTTCTTGAACACCAAGGGTACAAGACATGGACAGCTCAGTCATAATGAAAACCACTGGATAAGCTACTTCTTCACCACTAGGTCATGAAAAAGATACCAAGTAGTAATGTCCCAAAATATTCTGCTTGGGAACGTGTGTAATTCCAACTGACTCGGGTTCAGTCTGACAGCCAACCCATGCCTGCTGGACTTGCTGAGAATGAAGTTGATGCTTCAGCGAAATTTTCGTCGGAGTTGCAGCTTAGACTGCGCCGCGAGGCTCGGGCTAGGTGAGGGCTGGCTCGGCGTCAGTTCCATCAGGTCTTAGTCTCGCAGGCCTCCTGCGAGGCTTCCGGCATCTCTCGCATCTCATGGCACCAGCTTGAGGATATGAGTGCCACACAAATGGAAGTCCTCTGCGTCAACAAGTTGATGTTACGCTCTGATGTTGTAGTTGGGGCCGGCCTGGCTGCCTCTACTGCTGGGCTGCTGTTGCGCCAGTAGTCATATCTGTTGTGCGCTTGACGCGCCACGGGCTACCAGTTCACAAAAGGGCAGCCGCCCTTGCTTTGGACGTACACGATCTGTGGCGCAATTCCAACTTCCTCGTACGCACGGCGTATTGCTTGAGCATGCTGCGCCCAAGCATCCTCATCAACTTCACATGGCCCGTCGGCATTGCAACTTCTTGCCCGAGCTTTGTCCGTCAGGAAGGCTACCCTATCCAATGTCCTTGGCGGAGCAGGCATGGCAGCAGCACGAAGTGGGTGGTACCTCCCAATTGCCATCCAATCTTCAATGCGATCAGTGGCAAACTCCCTGAGAGAAACCACTGTAAGTTCGTACATTGGGCTGTTCTGCAGGTACCACAAAAAGTGTGGAGCGCCGGGCTTCAAGACGTTGTCGGCACAAACAACGCACTGATCCTTCATCAAGGCGCTTGACTCCAACATTTGGAGGTCAATGTGGAAACGAGTCCCTCGCTGATCAAAAAACACGGCATCTGCAGCGACTCCCTTGCATGTCTCCTTCAGGTGAGGAATCACGTCCTCACTGTATCCAACACAAATTGACACTCGATCTCCCACCCCCGCAAACTCAATCACATTCCGGGCAATGCATGCATGTATGGGGTCCACCTCCACAGACACCACCTTGCCACCACCTGGAACCAGCTTCTGGGCCATCCGTGTGGACGAGTATCCAACGAAGCACCCAAACTCCAAGACTAATTGCAGAGGCTGCCGTGCAAGCCGTGTGACTAGATCATCAAGAACCACGCCTTTTCCACCTCCTGCAATTTTCAGCCATCCATTTCCATCAACGGAGAAACCTTCAATCGCATTGATGACGGATGTTGCATCTCCTGCCTTGGCAGTGCACAGAACATGCTGAAGCAACCTGCATTGCTTGTCATAGTCCGTCCCAGAATGCCCATTACCTCTTGCTGGCAATGTCCAGTGGGGCAACTCAAGTTTCCTGGAGGATGTCTCTGCGAACACCCCACTGGACAACTTGGCCTTCAACCCGCGGGCCACAATGTTGCCCTGGTTCACTTCCAGCAAGTCGTGGACCAACGATACGCTTTGCGAGCAGTAGCCCAGCTCAGCTAAGCGCAGCGCACACGCGTTCAGCACAGCCTCCTGGATGTACCGGCAGGGTTGAAATCGAGACAAAGTTTCCATGGCTTGCATTTCCTTCACGAGGCAAGGCTGCACGTCTCGACAGTGGTGCAGCCAATAACCGATCGCGGTAATTCCCGGATTCTGATCCAAACGCCGCAGATTTTCGAAGAGCCTGCAAGCACTTGACGCCTCTCCTGCCAAGAGAAATGCCCGAACCATCATTGCCAGAACTTTGTCGTTGTACGTCTGCAGGCAGCTGGCACAACCAATTCTCAGAGATAAGGAAGTGTACAGCGAGTGGACCGAGGTGCGCAGATAAGCAGCCCCCCACACGGCGTTCCCGACACTCTGAGGGTCGAAGACCTCCAGCTGATCTGCAGCTTGCTGTGCAATCAAGTCTGTCAGCTTGGGATCCGAGTACACCACCGTAGCACAGGCCCAAATGCTGCAGGACAGGTCCTGAGGGGAGAAACTTGAGACTGAGCGCTTCACGCTCGTTGCAAGTGCCTGATAAAAAGGCTCATCTCGGAAATAAATCACTGCCAGAGCCCAGAGAATGTTGGAAGCATGCTGCGGCTTGATGGGCTGCTGCAATTTCACCCAGAGCGCTGCTTTGAAGGCATCCAAGAAATTGTCATCTCGGTGCTGCATTGTGCTGAAGGCCCACAGTGTCGTGGATAGATCCTGTTCCGACAGCGCATGCATCTTGCCCTTGGCTGCCGCTTGGACCAATGAAATCATGTCTTCGTCCTGGTAGCCAAGCTTGGCATAGGCCCAAATGAAGTTTGCCATGCTTTGGCAGCTGAATTCCGTGTGTAATTGGACAACTTGCCGGACAATGCTGGCAACACCAGGAGCATCTTGAAACTGTGTCACTGCCAAGGACCAGGCGAAGTTTGCCACCTAAGGGTTTCGGAAAATTCTCCTTGCACAATTCACCCTGTAATCCTGCATGCAAATCCAGGCACTCGCGTGATAAAACCCATATACCCCAAGATTGCCTTTTTTCCAGAAAATTCTCACCTCTTGCGGCTTGAACTCTGTGAGTCGCAAGGGCAGGGACGAGCATGCAAAGTAAAACCAGGGCTGATCCAGGTGTTTGAGGATGGCCTTGCAACCACACACCGGGGGGGGGTGGGGTCCCCAAAAATTAGGGCTCCCTTTTTGGGAGTATGAAATTTTGGGGGTATGATATTTTGGGGTCTTCAAGGGGGTCCCCCTATTGTGGGAAACTACGAGGACTTTCTGAAAACAAGGCTACCTGCAGGGGCCCTCGAGGGTACATTCAAAATGTGCTAAACTGTAAGGCTAAAGGTTGATGCGCAAGGTCTCGTTGCTCTGCACTGAACGTGACCAAAGAAAAAAACAAAAAGAGCAGCCCAATGAAGAACAAGCAGCCAACGACCAAACCGTGTTGGAGAGGTGTTGCGGCTGCAGTGGCTTAACCTGTGCCCTGGCACGCAGCTCCCGGGAAAAATGCTGCCAGTACTGCTCACAGCCGTACTCCATGGTGGCGCAGGCCCAGACCATCGTCGTCAAATCCTGCATAGCTTTTTGCAGGCTAATGAACTACGGCGATTGATGCTGACATGTCTTCTAAAAGTGTTGGCATTTCTTCTAAATCTTCTAAATGTGCTTACAAGTGTGGAAGAGAGCCTGCGCTGAAAATCTGCGCAGATCTGGTAAGCAGAAATCAAGCAGAGTTGTCGTCAAGCTGTTGTTCCTGTGGCCCATCTTGGCATATGCCCACAGGAAATTCGAAATGTTCTGAGATCTGAACTCAGCCAGCGTCTCCAGAGCACGTTCAGCAATACTCTCTGCCAGGCTAGCGTCCTGCATTTCTAAAACCGCCATGGACCAAAGGAAGTTGGCGCACTCTTGAGGCTTGAAATCGCAGACAAATCCTGAAGCGCATGCAACCAGTCGCGTCGGAGCTGTAAAGGCCAGCGAAGCAAAAGCCCACAGGATGTTTGCCAGATCTTGGCAGGACACCACTCCAAGTCTGGAGCCGGTTTCCCCAAGGAAACTCTCCACCTCCGCAGCCAACGCCTGCAGCAGTGGAGGATCTTTGTACCTCACGGTTGCACAGGACCAAACCAGATTGGACAGCTCCTGGGGCTTCAGCTCTTTCGCCCGACGTTCTGCAAGCACAGCGATCTGCGTCATGAAAGGGAAGTGCATGCTAGATATGTTTGCCATCGACCAGGCAGTGTTGGCCAGATTTCGTGCTTCTCCTTCGCGGAGCCGTTCATAGGCCAGAATTTGCAGATGGTGCCAGCGCTTGTCACTTGCACTCGGCTTTGCAGCTCCCCGCTTCACCTTCCAAGCAAGTGCTTGAAGGGCCGTTGAGATTCCGATGCTATCCCAGGAAGCGCCTTGCTCTTCGGTCAAATCCAAAATTCCATTTGGATCTGCCTGGTCGCGAATGACATCGCGCAGCTTTCGATTTCTGCGGCGGCTTTCTCTCTCGTAGTAGGAGACGGAGCTGCCAACCAGCGCACCTGGTGTGCCTTCTTGTTCCACGGGGCTTCTTCCTCCTCCCTGAAGAGCTTGGTCTCGCACCACAGCCGGATAATAGGATACCATCTCCAGTCGAGAACCTTGACATTGGCAGCACAGAGTGGATTTTCTTCAGCAGCTGAGAACACGGTCGCTGGCTGTTGGCAGACGACGTCGCGCAAGAGCAGCACCAGGAAAGCTTCGCGTACATGGGGAAGTGTTTTTCACCAGAACCAAAGATTCAACAGAAGCCAAGTCCAACTTCACTTGACACAGGTCATTTATGCACTTGAAACATCTGGAAACTGCGCTTCACCTCAGGATACTGATTCTTCTCACGAGCCTGAAAGCTGCAGCGTGCGCACGTGGCTGGCTAGAAGTTCAGGTGCTGCTCAGAACTGTAGGCCTGTAAGCTTTACCGCCTGAAACGAACAAAAAAAACCTGGAGTCAGAAGTCTGGGCCCCTACCATGGATCCTTGGGCATTTCAGGGTGATTCTAGGGACGCTTCAGGGTACATATGGGGTATATAGTATATTAGGATTCCGGGGTTGATGGCCCATACGATGAGCCCATGCTTTCAACCTTAGATAGAAGAGCCACACAATCTGAACTGCGATGGAGGGTGCCTCCAGACCTCGAACAGAAACATACCAGACTCCTTGAAGCAGTCCAAGACTAGCGTTGCTGCAAGAATGACACATTGAACAGTGCTGGTGTCGTCAGCTCGTTTCGATCAAGGGTGGTATGCCTCTCTCTCTATAATCTGACCCCAGATAATGCAGGGATCGCTTCACACACGTGCAAGGGACTTGTGCCCGAACACTCCCAATAGCTGAATCGGCGCTCCAGGCGGCTTTACTGAAGACATCCAAAGATGCTTCAGCTTTACCTGTAGCAGTCAGAGATGTGTAGCATCTCCAGAGCCAGCTTCACATCACGGTCATGCTCTCCTCCACGGGCGGCTCTCTTTAAGACTGGTACCTGCGCACGTCTCTGCTTTAGAGTGCTGATAGCACCCGAGCTTCAGGAGCCGCCATAGTTGCTATGTTGGCCGCAAAACCAGACACTCAGCGCATAGCGCTCTGCGTGCGCACCCCGCACCTCGTGAAGCACATGATCTGCACGCAGGAAGACCAAGGTACCTGCCTCTGGGTAGACCATGTTCCACTTGCCGTGGCAGTTCGCATCACCAATATCACCCAGCTCTGGCTGAAAGATGGCAAGCTCTCCGCCCGCATACCGGTCCCATCCAACGTTCAAGTACAAGACAGCTGTTAGGACACGGCCATCAACACGGCCATCACCGTCGGCATTGTCTATGTGCGCACTGTAGGCCCCGCCCTTCTCGTAGCTCGAAAGCATTCCATCACAGCGCTCCGTGATGCGGAGCTGAAGCTGGCTCCGCTGTAGTCTAGGATCCAAATGCATGACAATGTCTATCACAGCACTTTCCAACAGGGCAATTGTTGGCGCAGGGCCCTTTGCTGCGCTGGGACCGCTGAGCCCCTGCTCTTGCAAAAACCTGGGCTGCTGCTAAGGAACTTGAATTAAGCTACCATAATGGGTGTACATGCTAATTCATAGGGTTTTGCCAAACTAAGTTCCTGAACAGAAACCCAGAAACAGAACCTTGTCCTCTCTGTCTGCATTGGGCGTGTTTGGACTGATGATCTCATTCTGGATCACAGTCGTTCCACGAGACATCCGCGGCTTCAGTGTCTTGGCTTCCTCTAAGGCTCTGGCAATCAAGCTCTGATGCGCTCCCAAATCGCAGGCCACCCAACCATTCAAGCATAAGGACTGAACAATCCTGGGCTGCTGCTAAGGAACTTAAATTAAGTTACCATGATGGGTATACATATATATATATATTGTAAATAATAAGGCTCCCCCAATATTTACCTTGAATTAAGTTACTTAAGAGCAACCCAGAATCTCATCCAGTGCGGAATCCAGGTTCTTGAGGATTCCTCCCTGGCCAGCGAAGCACACCTGGGCAGGAAAGCCATCCTCTGAGCTGGGTTGCTTCTGCATGGGGCACCAGTTTCCAAGACAAGGGAGGCAGAACACAGCGAGCTCAAAGGATCCAGGAGACTACGAGAATATGAGGATTCCTCACCTGGGAGCCCCAAGCCCTACACCTTAAAAGGACCTGAGACCTTCCGCAAGTGGACAGTCAAGCTCCCAGGCCTCGGCAGGCCTTCGCTTCATCGTCTGAAGCCGCTCCATCCCCTGCACTCACTAAGTCACAGTCACCTCACGAGAGATTTAGCAGGTCTTTACAAGCTGAAGCCTTCACTCCGGGTCGGCGCTGCAGCATCTTGAAGACGCTTTGCCGGAGCTGCCTCTGGCTCATGCAAGTGACTACCCTGAAAAGCTCACAGATCCAGGTCTCATTCGCTGGGGCCTTGGTGGCACCCAAATGCCCTGTCGCAGGGATTCCCTGACGGTGTCGATGATCACAACCTGCAAGCATGCAGCGCACGCCTGTCTGGTGCTCGAAGCAGAAGGACCAGCCAACGATCTGGGAAGATGACCGAGCCCGTTTCAAGCTGCGACTGAACCTGCGCAGGGCCATAGAAAGCAAGGATGCAAGGCACGCAAGTTCCTGATTTCTGTTGCAGATAGGATACCTCTGCATCGCCTCGCAAGAAAGCCGCTTTCTCCAGGAGCTCCTGAGCCCAGTCACAAACAAGAGTACTTGAAGCTTCTTCGAACCAAAATCGAGCATTCCAGAATATTCCGGACGGGAGCCTTCAGCTTCTCAAGCTGCTTCTCCTTGGTACTGTGCTTCAGGTACTCGTCTCGGGCCTGCGCAGCCAAGCTCTCAGCAACGCATGCCAGCCATAAAACAACCTGCTGCGTCCTTTTTCTTAACACCTGCGAAGCCGTAGCCTTGATGTTTCCAGGCTCACTTCTGGAGCCGCAGAATCTCTAGCATTGAGAGACTCGAGTGCGAAGGGAACAGCATGTTGGCACGAAGAGCCCGGGGCAATGCTGCAGGCCCTTGAAGACCTGTCTCTGCCCAAACTCTTCTGCGGGGAACTTGTCCACCAAGCGAACACAACAACTTGCAACATGCACTGCAAGTTATGCCAATCATCCTTAGGCATCTGTTGGCAGGAACTTCTGAGCCTCCAGCACCAGTAACATGCGCTGATGGCTCTCCAACAGGCTGCCCACTTGAGTCCGCAGAGTCTGGAGCTCTGCAAGGACTTCGTTCTGGACATTCATCACATGGGTCACGCGAGCTTCGAGTTGATCTGCGCTTCGGTGAGAATTGTCCTTGCAGCTCTCAGGCTCAGGCTCAAACAAACAGCTTCCGTCAATGCCAAAATATCCTAAAATACTATCCTATACTATGCTCACCTCAAGTTCCACATCTCCAAATGCTGCAAAGAAGCATGCACCTTTGCTCGGTGAGCATCAGCAAAGCCCGAGGCGATAATACCAGCAGGCAGCCCGAAGAGGCCCACCCCCACAAAGGCAACCAAGCTTCCCAAACAACGACCCCCAGGGGTGATAGGCACAATGTCTCCGTAACCCACGGTGGTTAGTGCAGCCGTGGCCCACCACATGGACTGCAGGATACTGCTAAACATGGGGTTCACGCCAGACTCAACATAGTACATTAAAGTGGCAGAGATCAACAAGACCAAACCTGCCACCCCGAGCGTGCCTCCAAGCTCTCTACGCTTGTTCGAAATTACCACCACAATTGGAGACAAGAACTTATGTTTCCTCTCCAGTCGGAAGAGGGTGAAGAGTCGAAGCAAACGAATAGAGACAACACCTCGAAATATGTTGGAGGTCATGCAAACGTCCAGGTATAGCGATAGCAAGGAGACGACGTCAATGAGACATGCAGGGCTCGTCATGAAGCATATGCGAAATCGCCACCTTGCTCCAACGCTAAGCCGTTGTGCATTTTCCATCGACTCGATGCAGCTGTAGAAGCGCCTGAGATCAAGGCGGGGACAAGCACAATGCCTTTGACTAATAGCGTATACCAGGAAAAAGGATATGTGTGTGTGTGAATGTGTATATATATATATGCGGGATAATGGAAAAGAAAATGGAAACTACTATAGGGGTTACATAGGGGTATAGTATATAATGGGGCCTCTCCTACCCTAAGGTGCAATTTGAGACCCATAACTGGTGCACAGGCACAAAGTGTACTCGGTGGTGAAGATAATGGTAGCAGAGATTTCCATGTAAAGATAGACTTCAGAGGTCTCTTGGCTCATGGTGCGACTGTCGACGGCGAATCTCAGTCTGAAAAAAAGTGTTCTATCCATTCAGTAGGGGGCCCTTGGGGATCCCAAAGCGTATATGAAAATCCTTGGGGATTACGAATGCGGGTCCCTTATGAGAATTATCTAGGGATTTGTTGAGAGAAAATTGCTGTTTAAGTCAACTGACTTTGGAGTTCACCCAATAGTTAGTTGTTCTCAAGCATACCAACAATAACAAATCAGATGTGCTCAACGTGCAGGAGACAAGGCCACGATCAGCGCACTTGTGAACAACTGATACAGCAGCGACATCCACTGCAACCATCCTGGTGCCCAACGCGAGTTCTCCAAAAACCTGAGATGCCGTCATCAGCTTGAACTAGCATGCTGGCAACACGTTGCGGAACGCAACAAGCTGTCCCGAAGATGGCGAAATCCTACCATCATGGTACAGTATGCTGTGTTCGCGAGAGAATCAGGTCTGCTTTATAGAGGGCGCCTTGAAGCTCCAGCACTCACATGCACCGGTACAGCTAAACCGGGACCTGCGAAACCACTCGCTAGGACTTTGACATCCAAGTTCACAAACCGCACTTGGAATGAAGAAGCCCATCTAGACGGGGAGCCACCAGATGCCTCTCCGTCTCGAGAGCGCATCAAAGCGCACGCTGGTGGACTCTTGCAGGAGCCCTTGCGAGGTCAGCCCGCTCATCCTTTGCGCCTGGCAGTCTCCTCTCGATGAGGGGTGTAGCCCCCACAAAACTCCATATAACCCCCATATAACCCCTATATAGTCCTATATAACGTAAAACCGCATAACCCCTGCACCCGAAGAGCCACCCACAAATTTGAGAAAGCCAAAACTGAGGATCGGCCTAGCCAAAGTTCCAAGGCAAGGCATGCCAGCGCAGCAGGGTGGCTTACGGTTTAGGGTTTAGAGTTTAGAGTTTAGGGTTTATGGTTTAGAGTTAAGGATTGTTGGCGTTTTAGGCGCCTCTTCTACACCTCCCGATCCAAGGCTTAGGATTAGGGTTCAGGAGTTGGGATTTTTGGCTTAGAGTTTAGGATTTAGGGCTTGGGATGTAGGCTTTGGGGTTGAAGGCTTTATTGTTCTGACGCCTTCTTCCGTCTGTGGATAGCCTCGTAGCAGGGGTAGCTGCTAGCTCAGGGATTCTAGGGATTGAAGTTTAGGGCTTTGAGTGGAGAGCCATCATAAACTGTGTCAAGCTAGATCTTCACGACAAGGAGCCCTGAGTACGCACCCCTGCATTGCTTGATTCCTGTATGAAAACATGCTTTACAGGTGGGGCAAGATCCCACAGTGTCTGAGGCATAGGTTAGGTGTACCCTTGTGGCGTGCATCCATAATTCATACCCTGCAGATATCTAAAAATGGCAGCAGGGTCAAGATTCACGAGCAAAAGGTGCCAAAGCTGCTTGCATCAAGCACATTAACAGGACTTCGGACTTGCAAGGTTCTTGTTTGTGTAGCACACGGCCAGACACACAAAAATTCGAGAAGTGTACCGTCACTACGTGGCTCAAGTCAGAGAACCAGGCATTTCCTGGGACCTGGGGTTTGATTGTGGGAATGGGGTTGTTGCAGGCCTTTCTGGGTTTGAGGCCTTGAGGTGATGTCTTTGGACGATCATGATGTCCCTTTCTGTATTAAGAGGGCCCTTGCTAATCAATCGTCCCCAGCCCCAACTCATTTTTCAAAAGTCTTCGAAGATTCCCCGAACCTTGAACAGTTCTGATATACACACCGGAGAGATTATTTTTTGGATTCTGGCCCTTTGTGAGGTTCATGTCTGCCGATGATCAGCCGCTACTTCACAGTGTGCAACAGCGCGGACAGGTCTTCTCACGCGTTCATAAGGAGAAGAATTGGATACTTACCAACGGATTTGATTCCCGACAAAGCTGACTCAATGATTTTTAACATTTCTGGCGCGGCTGGCACGTGAAATGTAGCCAGATGTGGCTGGTATTCCGTTTCTTTTCTTGACACATGGCATTGAAATAGTCGAACCCTTCCTGGAACCTGTTCCGCATGGCTTCTGCGTGTGTCGCTCCACCATCCACGGCACCTGTTTGTGGCGCGCTTCCTTGTTGAGCACAACTACAAGTGAGCATCCGTGCGCAGAGTAGGAGATAATAGGAGTCTTTGAAATGTGCCGAAGCACACAAAACTCTCGTATTGCCTTGTTTTCTTGACATGCTAGTCTGCAGCATTTCCTCTGAGACCTTCCAAAAAAGATTGGGTAGCCTGTGTGTGTTGAGAAATGGGACAGGAATGCAGCCAGTGCATGATAATCCTCATTTGCGCCCTATGAGCTTGCGCCTTTTTTGAAAGCTCCCACCTGCTTCCACAGCCACAGTTTTACGGTTTCCTGCGGATTTTTCAACGTTCCTGGCAACTTCGCTCAACTTGACTGAAGGTTTGCTTTCCTTCTCTCCATATCGACTGACTGTCAGTCATGTTTCCAATTCTGCTTAGGTAACACTTTTGTTTCCCAGAAAACGCTAACAATTGGGTGCCACGTGCTTCCCCGACCCTTGTCCAATACTAATTGATGTTGAAGTTTCCGCAGCATACACTGACTCAGAACAAACACCAACGAGCAAAAGCGGGCAGCACGCTGCCTCAAGGTGAAATGACGGCGGCACCACCTTTGCTGCACAACAACAACCCGTGGCCTGAACAGGCTTTGGAGGCCCTACCCTTATTATGGACTTCCGGGCCCGCAAATGTACAATCACCCCAGCTGGAAATGTACAACATCAGCCGTGCAGGGGGCAATACCCAGTCAGCATGAGAAGCTTCAACACAGCCATGAGCAAGCGGCTAATGCTGCAAGCAATGGCTCTGCTTCAGGGGAATGAGTTGGGGCTGGGGGCTGGGCATCGAACATACTGGAGACGTTGCGTCAGCCCTCGCCTCCTGTGTGCAGTGGAGGCTCAGGCTTTGTCGTCGTCTGGCCCTCGCCCGAAGGCTCAGGCTTTCCAAACTATCCAAACTGGGTGGGGTTCGGATAGTTTGGATAGTTTGGGTAGTTTGGGTGGTTTGGGGGCTCCCGGTGGTGCCCTAAACTACCCAAACTATCCAAACTGGTGAAGGAACAGGCTTTGTTGTCTGGCCCTCGCCCGGAGGCTCAGGCTTTGTCGTCGTCTGGCCCTCGCCCGGAGGCTCAGGCTTTGTCGTCGTCTGGCCCTCGCCCGAAGGCTCAGGCCTTGTCGTCAGCCGTCAGAGTCGTCAGCAGCTTGCTCCGCTTACCACACATTCTGCAGTACGGCAGTGAGAGAACATCTGCATGTGACATCAACGCAGCCAAGAGAAACCTAGAATATAGGTGCCCCTCGACACATTTAGGCAACACCGCCCAGAATGTGTAATTATCCACGCCTGGGTACGGGCTTCATTGTACATCAGCTGGGTGGGGGCCTTCAACAACTAAAGCCATGACCCCCTATCTCAGAGTACCTATGACCCTAACCTTGACCGTGTCTTGGGATTGCAAGCACTCGAAACGCCTGCTTCCTTGGTTTTCCTTGGTGCTACCGGTTTGCATCTCAGAATCGGACCAGATCTCCCCCAAAGCGGACAGAAGGGAAATTGCCAAGATGGTTGTACCTCAGTCCACCCATGCTCTGCCACCCTTTGTGATCACAGACGACATCATGTACTCCAGGTATGGGAGCAGGATTTCCCACACAGTCTGACCAGAAGCATTTCTGAGCCTCCTGCTTTCGCCAGAGGCGCTCGAAATGCGTGGCTGGATAATGCAGCACCTTCATCAGAGACATACCCGTCAGTCCCCTTACCACAGCACCTACAGCAACAAAAAGTGGTCATGCATAATCTTTAACGTGTACCCTGCCGTCCCTTCATACTCCCCAAAAGGGTTGAGGGCCCTTGGCTGGGCTTGGACCCCCCTGGCTCTGCTCAGCTATTTAGCGGGCCTTGGCCGCAGCTACAACCTCTTCGTGCGAGGAAGCTAGCCACGTCAAGTTCATGTCCTCAAGAACGTGACTCAGTTGATTGTCACACAAGCACCATGACTTACAGCATTTGCAGCAGACCGCGCGCTGACGGTACAATGTCTCAACCAGACAAGGCACTGGGAGCTCATGCGGTGCAAAGTTCGTCCAAGCGTGCTTGCCGGTAATGAGCTCCTGGAGCTCAACAGATTGCCGCATCTGAGTGTACTGCGCTGCCAGCCCTGTTGCTTGGTGCCTCCAGATCGTCCGGAGGATACAAGAGGTGCACCTCCGTGCAGGGCTCGCGTGGGTGGTGAAAGGGCGCAGAAGCTGCATCACGTTTGCTTTGCCTGACCCCAGCCTGCACCTTGAAGTGTTGCCTATTTCTTGGCTTGTCCGTACCAACTGACCCGGATGTAAAACAGCTGAAGCCATGCTTTTTAATGAGCGGTTTCATTGGAAACTTCCAACAAGAGTCTCGTCCCTCAACAGAAACAAGCACATGACAACTGCGCTGGGATCCAGGCGGAAGTTGGTGCAATCTCAGATCCAGGTTTACCGCCTTGGCCAAGAACGAGTAATTTTGCGCTGCCATTCCAACAACTGAAAAGAAGCCCTGAAGAAGCGGCGAACTCGCACCGCACTCTTGCCGTTGTCGTAGTACAGGAAGTAGTTGCGGGCCTGAGCGCAGCTCAGGGCTCCATTCCATCAAAGGCTTCTAGGGGACCTGATGCATGAGGTCCTCACCTTGGTTCGCTGCGCCCAGAAGTTCATGCCAGCCATCCCAGCCCTTAACAGAAAACAACGTGAAGACTCAAAGACTCTCTGTTTTCAGCTGCATAGCAAGTGCCACATCCGTTCACAACGCTCCTCTTCAACAAACTGTGAAAACAAAGACCAACCAAGACGGTGTCGGCGTCTTGCTGACCCGTCCGCTAGGCACCTTCTCCCAGGGAGCAGAAGAAGCATAAAAGGCACTTTGCATCCAAGACACGCAAGCTTTTGCAAGGCAGCCCGCCTTGAACAGGGTTACGTCAACAAAGGGCGTCAGGGTGTGTTCCTGCACAGCTGCTTCTGACGAATTGCCCAACATGTGCCACAGGGACATGTGAAAACGCCAGGTCCTGAGGCACAGCTTCGTAGTTCTGATAGAGGCAAAGACCTTGGGGCTTCAGCTTCATCAACTCAGGAATCTCTTTGGCAGAGCTTGAGTGCAAAAAGTAGATAATGTAGTGTGGACAGAAAAGCCTGTGAGGCTCATACGACAGTCACTCGCTTCCAAGTGCTTGAAGTGGGCCTGCCAGACCGGCTTTCTCCCACATGCAGCTACTTTCACTTTCACTTTCCACGCAGCAAAAGTAAGTCTTTGCTTGGCGAATCTATGGACAGGCTCTTCGGCCCGGCAACTCTAGGCTGCTGTGCAGTGCACATCCAGGACTCCTATCAAAAGCATGC